AGAAGAAATGTCTTTTGATCTTCTTCTGGAAGAGTAATGGTGGATTTTACAAATTATCTTTTGTCACTTGTGAATGATTAGGTGCAAATTTACTTTGAATTTCTAATTTGGTTCTTTAAGTCTATTACCTAACAGCATAAACAGCAAGTGCTTACATTATTTTGCAACAGATTAAGGTGGAAAAAAAAAGCCACATTCAGGAAAACAATGTAAGATGAATTTCACACACAGACATAGCACACTTCCTCATTTCCACATCCATTATTTTCACTTTCACAAGAACTGTATGAAGTAGGCAAGACAGGAATTATTTATCCATTTCTCAAATGAGGAAAGAGTCACAGAAAGGGAAGGTGACCTGTCCCGGGCCACTCAGCTGGTTGGAGCCTAAACACGCTGTTCTTTCTACACTGAGCTGCCTCCGTTTATAAATAAGATCCATATATTTCCTAGCAGGTAGACCCAAGTGGCTGCTGGACTGGCGGCTGTGCCATTCCGGCTGTGGCCAGAGGGATTCCCTGTATAAATAGCAACCTATGCTAGAGGTTGCTAGTGCTGGCCATTTCCCCTACTTGCACCTGTGCAGTGTGATAAAGAAAAGAAAATTAGCCTGCAGTTGTGGTCCAACCAGATAAACTTTTAGGCGGGAAGTCAAGTGACAGGCAAATTTGTGTGTGTGTGTGAGGGTTTTTTAACTGTTAGTTGTTTTTGATATTTTAAAAAAGTGTTTAGGCTGCTTGTGGAAGTCAGACCAAATGGCAGGAAGGCATTGCAGCAAGGTGGAGTTGGGAAAGGACAAATCTCATGGGAGGAACCATCAGACACCTGATCTTCATCAAGAAGAGAACTCTGCTCCAGGTAATGCAAAAGACCTCGAGAGGTGGTGGCTGTGGGGAAGAATTGGGGTTATGATTATTTTCCTCTTCTTTATGAATCCAGCAGAAAAAGAGGCATAATTGAGTGCATTCATATAACCTTAGGTGGGAAGAACTAGGGCTATGAAACTTCCTGATGTGCCTTTTAGTGCTAAGATTCTAATAAGCCAGAGAAACAAATTGTTAATAAGAAGTATACTTTGGCTCGGCGCCCATAGCACAGTGGTTACGGCGCCAGCCACATACACCGAGGCTTGGCGGGTTCGAACCCGGCCCAATCCAGCTAAACAACAATGACAACTGCAACAAAAAAATAGTTGGGTGTTGTGGTGGTTGCCTGTAGTCCCAGCTATTTGGGAGGCTGAGACAGGAGCATCGCATAAGCCCAAGAGTTTGAGGTTGCTGTGAGCTGTGATGCCACAGCATTCTACCGAGGGCAACGGGTGAGACTCTGTCTCAAAAAAAAAAGGAGTAGGACGCCAGCCCCAGATGCGGGGCTGGCAGGTTCAAATCAAACCTGGATACTTTGTCTCAAAAAAAAAAAAAAAAAAAAAGAAACATACTTATATGAAAGATATCCAATACTGGATGGTTGTGGTAAAACAAGCTCACCCATTTACTTCTATGGTAGTGTAAATTTGGTATAACTTTTAGAAAAGCTATACTGCTTTTCTTTGACTCACTAATCTTAGTCCTTGGAACTAACCTAAAGCAGCATTTGTCAAAGTATTTTGCAGAGTCTTTGGCATTAAGATAAACTAAGCTTCTTTGTTCCATGGATCTCACTGGTACTCAGATGAACCCCTCAAAAATTAAAAAAGATATAATTATCAAAATTAATAAAAATACTCATATAGAAATACTGTGCATATGTGCTTATTTATATAGATGTATTAAATAACAAGATTCAGTGGTGGGTCTAATAATCATTTGTCAAGTCAAATAAATCATAGCCTATAAATGACATTTTAAGGTATCTGTAGTGACTGTAATGGGTAAAAACAATCTTTGATTTCTGAAAGTCACACACTACTTAACCTACTGTGCTTTGATGCCTACATTGATAGTTGAAGGAAATTATAAGTTTAATCAGATTTAATACAAATAAAGGTATAATTTTTTCCCCATCAAGAACCCCTTGTCATGAGAACAAAAGGCACCATGGTCCAGGAGGCACGTTCTATCTTTTGTAGGTCTTAATGCATCACTCCACAGGCTCCAAAAAATTCAATATCAAAGAAAGATCCACTAACTTTTCTCCAATTTGAATGGTAGCAGAATCTATTTTGATAATACCCTTAATTTTCCAAAGAACATCAAGAAACAGAATCCTAAGGAAAAAAATTCCCCCTAAAAGCTGTATGCAGTGAATATACTTATAATAATTTGACATACAGGAGAAAAATAACTAGGAACAACCTAAAGGCTCAATATAGGTAGAATGAATAAATGAGAATATATCAACTAGATTAAGTATCATATCATCATTAGAATTATAATTATGAAGCCTATATCATGGAAAATAATTCCGATATAATGTTAGGTTAAAAAAAGATAAAACTGGCTTGGCGCCTGTGGCTCAAGCGGCTAGGGCGCCAGTCATATACACCTGAGCTGGTGGGTTGGAATCCAGCCCAGGCCCGCCAAACAACAACGATGGCTGCAACCAAAAAATAGCTGGGCATTGTGGCAGGCACCTGTAATCCCAGGTACTAGGGAGGCAGAGGCAGGAGAATCGCTTGAGCCCAGGAATTGGAGGTTGCTGTGAGCTGTGATGCCACATCATTCTACCCAGGGTGACAGCTTTAGGCTCTGTCTCAAAAAAAAAAAAAAAAAAAAAAAAGATAAAATTTTGGTACCTTATATTACAACTTCATAATACCCTGTATTACAACTTTGTATACTATAGAGACCGGATGGAATAGGAATAACATGAAAACAGATTAACGTGTTAAAGATTGCAGAACATGGCTGATTTTTTACTTAAAAGAAATGAATAGGTTGGTAGCATACTTATGTACAAATAAATACTATGGACCTTTTCATTCAAAAATGTTTACTGAATACTCCCTGTCTTTCTCTAGGGATACAAGGATACTGTCCTTGTCCTCAAAAAGCTGGGAGAAAAATCTAGCATAGGGATTCTGCCACTTGGCTGTAGGACCCCTTTTACTGATAAATATCATAGTTTATCACTTTCTCTAATAACTTCCATTTTGATCCTATAGAAGTCATTGGAAATTGGAGTTTGCGAAGCAGAGAACAACTCAGAAAAAGAAAAGCTGAATTACAAGAAAATCAGGCTTCACAATGGCTCTCTGGGTATGGTATCATCTCAAGGGAAAAGAAACTACATTTACTGAGCATGCCTTATATGTCAAGGAGTGCTGTTCACTTGTACATATTGTATTTTATCTTTCAAAAAATCCTACAAATTGAATATTTTATTCTTAAACAAAGGAAACTAAATCTCCAATGGTTCAAATCTCTTGCCTAAAGTCACACAGTTATTAAGTAGTGGGAACAGAATTTTATCCCCGGTCTCTCTTCACTAAAGCAGCAGGTAACTGAATTATATTGAAGAGAAAACTGCATCGAGCTACTAGGGTAGTATAGACATATAAGCATCTTGTTGGGAGTGGGAAACACCATTGAGAAGCCTCCAAGATTGTTCTCCTAGCTTCTTGTTAGTACAATCCTTGCTGAATGGGTGTGATTAACTCTCCCTGAGGTAAGCCAAAACACTGTCTATTACTTACTGACAAAGAGTTTGGGAATTTCAGAATCTCCAAAGTCACCTGTGTGTAAACTTGGGGAGGGAGTACAAGAACATGATTAACATGATTATATATGAGGCAGCATCTAATTATATCCATCTAGAACATGATGACTGGGGACCTGCTTGTTAAGAAAAGGGAGCCTAAAGAGCCCAAAGCATAGAATCCATCTAAGCCAAAGTTTCTACATCACTGTTGACACTGTGGGCAGGATAATTCTTTTTTTTTTT